TTCTATACTAATAGTCAGTAATATATATATATATATATTATATACTATATATATATTCTTTAATGGGTTTTGATGAGTTTTACTTATCTGTTACTCGATATAAATAGTCAACAGTATATGTATATATTCTTTAATGAGTTTGATGTGTTTTACTTATCTGTTCTCGATATAAATAGTCAACAGTATATGTATATATTCTTTAATGAGTTTGATGTGTTTTACTTATCTATTCTCGATATAAATAGTCAACAGTATATGTATATATTATTTAATGTTATTAACAGTTATGTCCCTTGATTGCTTGCTTGCGTGGTTTTGATTAACGGAAGAGAAGAATATTTTTCAGTTGAATCTGTCTGGAGTTGATGTAAGATGAGTAGATTTCTAAAAACAGAAATGCTGCTTATCGGCTGCTTTCAGTAGTTATATTATCAAATGCGGTTGTCTTTGAGCTCGATTGACATGGGCTGTAACTTTTATAATGATAAAAAATATAGAAAAAATATAAACATGAATATTTAATACCTCAAGAAATAAAACGTTTCTCAACAACTGACAATTAATAATTGGTTTTCCAAACTAATTTATTTAGTTTTTGTAACTGAAATAAATAAAGCTTAAACATAAATTTATTATTTTGATTTTCAATGCATTGGTTAAAACATATGGAATATATTCTCGAAATATGTTTTATATTTCTGAAAATACTTCATGAAATTAAGTTTACCTCAGGGTTAATTTCAAATTCAAAAACTATAGTTTGTAAATTAAATACTCGCAACTTTTTAAACTTATTGTTAAAAATGTTAAACGGAAAAAGCAATATTTACGTTAAATGAAATAAAACTTTTTATCGACACTAGCGTAATAATATCAAACCTTTTTTTAAAAAGACTTTACAGTGGTTTTTGCATTTAGGGTATCTTAATCGCGTTAAGAAAAAGAAAGCACGAATGAGAAGTATATAGAATCAAACAATTTAAATATCAGTATTCAGTTAAGCTATAGCCAGCCGAATAATTATCGAATAAAATGTCCACCTCCCAAGAGTCAATCATTTATCAATTTACAGCAAACCAATGACATTGTCAAGGAAAACAAAGAAAACATCATCGGTCGGTGAAGTTTGAGTGAATATTAAAAGGAAATTCCTTTATATTATGTTACCAATTTCAAGTAAATACATTACCAAAGATCGGAGGTGCAGTAATCACCTTGATTGGCACCGAATCAAATACAGATTTAAAGAAATAAACAGAAATTATAAGAAGGTTACAAAATCAAATTATATACTAAAAATCACAAATACATAAAAGGAATTGTATATTAGGTGTTAACGTAGATTAAAGAAGTTGAGTACGTTATACTGAAACGATTTTGGAGCCTCAAAACGTCGTTACAGTCTTTTTCTCCACGACCAGTCATGCTCTATCTGACAGCCGTATGTCGTGACAATAGTTCTGCTGTATAGTTTCCATTGCTATATGTTCTGTCGTAAGGCTATCATTTTAAAAGCACAGCATAACTCCTCCATGCAGGCTTTTTATAATTCATCTAGTGTACGAAGAGATGGTTTTTCTACACCTATTTCAACTGTCCGATCACACAAATGTCCATAAGCGATACATCCAGCGACTCAATGGCATTTCTTCGTATGGAATAGCATAAATGCTTCTTTCATTCTCCAGCCGTTTCATTTATGCAGTAGTAGAATTGATATGTCATGAAAGCAACTTGTGTGCATGTGACTTTTTTAACTTTTCCAGATGGAGAAACTTTTGATTATCTTGAATGTTGTTGCTTGTGACTTGTAAACGGCTTTTGCCACTGACCTCTGAATGTTACGTATCACAAGACGCTGCACTTTGCTTAGCATGGTTGAGACAAGACTTGTTGTAGGTCTCTTTCTGGGTGGTCCAGGTTTCCCAAGTTGATCCAACTTCCTTTGCTTTCCAATGTCATTAAGTGTAACTGATATACCCGTCTTGAACGCATATTTATGATCTGAGTGTATGGATATTTGAATAGATTTGTTAATATCTTTCCAAAACTGGTAAAATTTCAGTGGCATCACACTATCTTCTTTTTATTGTTTGTTGTTAAGTATAAGGCTACGCAAAGGGCTGCTTTTGTTCTGTCCCCAGCGATTATCGAAGCCAAATTTTCAGTGTTACATGTCCCTAGACTTACCATTGAGCAACCGGAGGAGGGATACAAAACACTAAACAACGCTAAATTGTAGTTCTGATACACTCTGTTCCACCGCGACTTTATTCTCACGTGAATTACTGATTTGTATGTTTAAAATAAATTTAATATAACGTAGTCAATTTTGTGTAGACAATAAAACATTAATTGTACTAGTACTGTCTTTACTGTCCTTAAAACATTATATGTAATGGAGTGGGTTCATTGTGCATTAAAACCTTTCCTCAATCAAGTTGAAATTGAAAGATGAATCGGTGACGTAAAGGCCTAATGCATTTTGTGATTGGCCGTACTTTCTGCTGTGAACTGCAGTTTTGTCCATTGAAGGCTCATCAGCACAGCTTGGGTCAGCAAACCAAAGAAATATCATTAAACTTCTTATAACGATGAAGTTTATATAATTTCTATGGAGGTTTCAAGATCGAAGGTTTGAACATACCCCACGCTTTCAGGTGTGGGGGTGAGGGCATTATAACATTGACAGTAATCCAAATATTTAGTTAACAGTAGCATCATACTAAGGGGCTGGTACGCTAGTTGGTTGTCCCCCCCCCTCTTGTCAGCAGCTTTAAATTAAAGATGACCATATCTGAAACTTAGAAGACTCGGATCTAACTACTTAGCTCACAAACTCACAATGTGCCGTTCAGACTGTAAACACCAAGTCAAAATACTTTTATGAACAAAATGAAGCTGAAATTTGAAATCATGATATGTTATTTACAAAATGATCCTTTCTACGAAAGAAGTTAATCTTCATAATAAATGTTTTCTAAATATTCCAGTTATTGTTGTGCTCCACTAGAGATAAAACTGATTAACTTTGAGATAGCATTTTTTTTAAAATTATAACATCACTTTAAAAACTATAATGAATTATACATATATATATATGTATATGTTTTGGAGATCACTCTTACAAAATGTCTTAATGGATGTATTATGGAAAAAAAGGCGAATATAAAGCTGAAAATATGGGAAAATCTGATTGTTTGAAGAACAATAATTCTTTATTTATTACATACAAGACTGTGGATTAGTTTCATAATAATTGTGTATACGAGTTAAAACATACACGTGCTCACATTAATATGTTAACTCTCTTATCTTCTTTCGAATTTAACTTTTTAGAAATTGGTTGCAACATTCGGTTATTTACTGACTGACGAATCTATTTCTTGGTTGATAAATTATGATTTATGAAAAAACATAAACATAAATTAAAGAAATGTTGAAAGAAAGTAAAATGATTTTGAAAATAAAGCATTCACCATTAATGGTAGAATTACGTTAGTTTGAAGCAACATTGAAGCAAACAGTGCATCTTTGATTTTCCTGTTATATAAATATACATATTAAATGTTTATGAGGTTCAGAAATAAACAGGATTTTGAGATACAGCAAGCAGAAATAATATTATTTTTTAAAATGAAACGACATGGATTTTCGAACACCACATGGATGTTATAAAAGATTGCGAAACGGAATCCGTTAAAATCAATATTTGTTGATTCAGAAGGAAACTATCTTATGTTTCCAACTGTAACTACATTGATTACACTCTAGCGAACTTTAAGTACTAGTCACGAGAGGGCAGCATTGTTGAGACCTAATTCTTTTACACACGCTAGAATCACCTGTTTGTCAATTGATTTGAACATCATTCGTAGGGTATCTGCAGCATCACCTGGTGAATCCTGTATAAATGTCTTCTCCGCATGACTTTGGTATTTTGCAAAATATTCACATTTTTTAAGTGGGACACTTTAAAACAACGAAAAGCGTTCTAAATTGTACATTTGACAAATTGTATAAACTTGCCAGAATTTAATAAGTTTTGGGTGTAAAAGATCGTAGACTTTGTTAATTTCACTACTTTGGTATTATGTACAGAAATAACGAATGAAGTTTTATAGCACGGCTACTTTTGTTGTTCTTCACCTTCATGTGCTCTGTTTTTGTTGGCTCTGGTTTCCCACGGCTGCTCAATATGGTGCAGTGATTCTCCAGTACGATAACGAATGTTCTCGTAACCTCTCCATCTTGGAGCAGGTGACGTCCCGAGCCCTGAGACATCCAGAACTGATGGTGGCCGCAAGAGAAACAAACATTAAGATGGACATTCGTATGCCTCTTTCGGAGTGCCGAAGCGGATCTCTTTATCCTTTCGTCGAGGCCTTGAAAGAGCAGAAAATCCAAGCAGTTGTAGGGGCCGTAGCTGACCATGTATGTGAAGCTGCGGCTACACTGTCCAGTGTTCACGAGAAACTGTACGTCTCCTGGAGTTGCACAGCTTCTTCACTATCAAACAAAATACTTTATCCTACCTTTGCTCGTACTATACCCTCAGCCGTTGCTACTGCTCGGGCCGTGATATCCTTGGTAGCGGGACTTCGATGGAAGAACTCCGCCTTACTAGCAGCTAAAGACGAGACTTGGCGTCGGCTGGCCGAGGAACTGGACTCAATCATTCGGGATCGAGGATTTGTCGTCCGGGCTTTCCTCCTTTTAGATACTCGAGCAACGGTGGAAGAGATAAAATCAGCGTTGTCTGCCGTCAAACCTCCTGTAAAAGGTAAGGATTCTTAATTTAATGAACAATCTTCCAGCTTCTGTAAATTATTTATAAAATTCGAGGTAAAACCATAACATCAACTTTATTTGTTACTTTTAGAGTTTGTGAATAAATTTTAATTGACTGAATGATTTATGCGTAGTTTTAGCTATCACCAAAAAATCCTAACACTTAACATAACCCCATGCATGAAATGTCCGAGAATTTGGCTTCTGGCGTTATTACTTGAGTTCACTGTAACAAGTGAAAATATAAGCTAAAAGAACTACAACTCAAAAGATAAAATATATGTTTAAGATATAAATTAGCTATATTCACAAATCCCATATGATAGAGAGAGTTCGTTATTAAGTATTGTTCTTAATGTGTAGTTATTGTACAGGACTCAAAATTAACTCTAAAAGACAGAGTCTCAAAATAGGCTTAGCTACAAATAAAAACAACATTTTAGAGATGTATATTATGTTCACGTTATTCATAGTTTCATGAGGATTTCTGACACCACAAGGAGAATTTCCAGCTAATCTGTTATGTTTGGACCAGATCTTTAAAAGTCGTTCAGATGCAACTAAAAACCTATGTCTCCTTTCTTAAGATAAAAACAACAACAACCATTTCAGTAATTACATACAAAGTTATTTCACAGATCTGATATTGAAATAAATAAACTGATAATATTTGACAAGAAACATTCCGCTGAACTTTGAAATTAGGGGGAAAATGCATTGATACTGTATGCATAAATAGAGTTCATTGCATTAATAATACATACGGAAATCATTGTCGTAGCATTTATAACATAGGTAAGTAATGTTAAATTTAACAGAAGGTTTAGGCTGTATATCTGTGGTGTTTGACGAAGTTTCTTTAGGGGTAGTAACACACCTGTAGTTACGACAGTTGTTTCATTTCGAGATATCAGGTAACTTTCGTTTCTTGCTTTCGGGTGTTTTTTTGAAATCACACTTTAATCAACTTTCTTTTTCTTGAATTTATAGTTTAAAGTATTGTTTAATGATGAATAAGAATTAATATATTATTAAAAGAAGATTTTAGTGTGATCTGACTTTCATCCAATCGTCTTTTGAAATATACTTTTACTATATTTTGATTCATTATACAGTATAATTTGACTTTTATGTTTTATCTTGATATTTTCAGTTATCTTACGCTCTGAATAACTTTTATTTTGGTTCACGTTGCTGCTGCTGTTACACTTCAGTCAGATCTTGAATCGCACATTTTACCATATGACTTATTGTTTATTCGCTTTAACACGGAGTTCTCTTATCTTCTGATTCACATCGTTGTTGCACTTTTACTGATCCTTTTGTCATTTGTTGATTTTACAGCTTTATATTACTTTGAATTTAAACTTCATCTATTACAATTGAACTCAAACTTCTGTAACGCTTTGATTCACACTCCAGTTACATTTTAATTCTCACACCAATCACTGTTTAACTCCTACACTCCCTCCATCTTTATAATTTTCAGTATTCAAATTCACAGAATTTGTAGTGTATACAGGAGGGATTTACACATTTTGATAATATATTTATATAAAAAAACAGTTTTATGTAATAGCCCTGAAGATGCAAAACGTTGGTTAAAACAAAAGTGCTCTTGCAAACATCTGAAATGTAAAGGTCGTTTTTTTCTAATTTTATTCAAAATCACAGCTTAACTTATACTGATCAAAAGGGGTTAAAACACACGAAAAATACCACAATTTGGTGTTTAAAAGGAACCAAGAAGATTATGGTGTCAAAATAATGTTATTTTAGATTTAAAGTTCTTTTAGAAACTTCGTTTTTAGCAAAATATTATTTTGTATACAACCTTGAAGTAACTAATTCACTTCATTAAATAAATATGAGTTGAGTTTTCATTCTATGATCATCCCAATCGACTTAACATATCTACTAACATATCCTTGAAGGACCTACGTTATAATTAGTTGTAGACTGGGATACTTCAGCTTCTTTTTTTTGCAATTAACAAAAAACAGAACAGGATTTGATATATTTATTCGCTGTTTTAAATATCTTAGAATATGTCAACCTATGCTGGTTGTCCAATCACATTTGAAGCACCATTGAAAATATAAATAAAGTTGACAGACAATGATTTACGAGATGCAGCGCTCTACTTTGAGGCACATCATTAACAATTATTAAACAGATATGTATATTTTGTTTCACACTCTTTGAGCATCAGTTAGCATATGTTCAGGCTGCGGTACTGGTTTTTTTTTCAACAACTCAAAATCGATTAAGAAATGCTTCGACTAAGTGAGCACTATGTGTTGCAAGAACTCTAATGATTATTGGCAAACGTACAAGTCATAGAGACTTTTTGTTTCTTTAGAAACGATTTGATATTTTAACTGTGTTTTGTGGAGGTGTCAAAAAAATAAAAAAATCGGAGAAACCAACTAATATACCAAAGTAAATTTATTATCTATTTCTGATCAAAACGAAATGTTTAAGAAGATCAGGACTAAAAAAAATAACCCAATAATTATAGTAGCTAATGCAATATAATCAGTCTAACTAGAAGTATGCAAAGCAATGAAACAAAAACTTGCAATGATTAGCATGCATTGGTTCATCAATTGGGTATACTCTCACTTTCGGCCGTAATTCCAATAAGATCGGCCTGGTAGTTAGGGTGCTCGACTCGCAATCTGTGAGTAGCAGGTTCAACTCACCGTCACCGAACATACTCGTCCTTTCAGTCGTAAGGGCGTTACAATGTGACGGTCAATCCCACTACTGAATGGTGAAAAAAGTAGTCGAAGAGTTGGCGGTGTTGACTAAGTACCTTCCCTCTAGTCTATCACTGCTATGTCAGAGACGATTAGCACACATAACCTTCGTGTAGCTTTGTGCGAAATTCAAAAGAAACCAAAATAATCCAATAAGATCTTACGAGGTTCAGCCAGCCTAGGAATATTAGGTTAGTCCTAAATCCGCATACTAAGCTAATAATGCCAACGTATCATGCATAAATTAATATATATATAATAATAATAAATAAATAAATAAATGAAAAACTATAATATGTGTAGAAACATTTTAACCGATTCTTAATGAAACTAACATCAAACAAATAATGGAATGTAAGCTACTGAAAAGTCGCTTTGGTCATTAGGTGCTTGTTTCATGCATTTTAACCGATTCTCTTTCCTTTGGAAAGTCTATTATGGATATATTTATAATCAGTTGCTGCATACTGGTGACACAGTAAAAATATATTAAATCAAACGTATTACCTATTGAAACGGTGTAATTATTAAACAAGTAAATTATGTATGTTTGTAAGGACGAAATTATTAACAGCATGCTACCTACATATTAACAATGATAGAACGTGGATAGGAGATTTGTTAACATTTGTTTCTTTGATAAGTATACAAATTGCAAAATCAACATACTTTCAAGTTACAATTTTTACAATACAAAGTTTTCCATACATTTTATGGAATCATAAAAGAATGTGAAATATATATATTTCGTATGTATGAATAATAAGAAAAGGTTACATACGCACCCAAAATAACACTACCAGGATTAAACCTAGGTTATGTCCGCTTGAAAGCGCTTCGAAGGCATTCGCTGTAAACCTTTTAATGTTATCTTCTCGACACAGCAGCTCTCCCACACGTTGTTCCTATCATTCACTATAGTTGATGTTTGTTCAATCATTGATTGTGTTCTTTAAACATTAGCTTAAAGATGGAAAAGAATTTTTAGGAAAAAAGAAAGTTTCGTATAAGAGAGTGGTTTCAGTGAAACAGAGAATATAGTTATACTTTATTCAATTTATTATGAAATATAAAATGTGAAGTGGAAAAAGTCAAGACATCTGTTTCCAGTGAAACTGAAAAAGGCTTAAGAGCCATATAGAAGTATGAGGTAAAAATAAAGAACACTTGCGGAGAGAATTTAAAAGTTTTAAACGCATATAGAGGGAAAAAGATGAGCAATATAGTATATGTTGTAAACTGTATATGTCCGAATAGCTGAAAGACAACGAAACATTTAAAAGAATGAATATAGCCAAAAGCTAAGCGAAAAACTACATTTTCACCGATTTTCAAAATTAATCGTGCTAATTCTTTATTGAAGCAATGTATTTTCAGAAGACGAAAATGTATGCTCCAAAATGGAAAAAGAGGTAATATAGTTAAATTAATGTATGAAAATTGAATAATTTTGTGTATAAGTAAATATTAAGAACGACTTTTTTGTTATTACGCTACAGTTTGATGTCATAGCATTGTTACCTTCAAACTATTAGTTTTTCCCAACCTGTACAATCTATTCGAATTATTTGAAAGTGCTAAACGTAAAAGTATATATTGAGGACGAAGTTGAGACAGTAATCTATATTTCAACAATTAACACCCGTATAAGTACAACCAATAATCAGTTCTTACTTAGAGTACAACGCATCTGTTAGTACCTCATGTCATTTTGGTTTTAGAATTCGAGACTTGTATTTAACTGGTTTGTAGGCGAAATATGATGAACAAGCGTTGCTATGGTTTTCTGACAGTTTCAGCACGTGCAGCTTGGTAATACAGTACCCTGAGTTGCCAACTGATATGAGATACCACGGTAAAAAAAACAAAAAACGCTGTATATTATTTCTTTATTTATTCTGCATGATGTTGAAATCAGGATTCGTGTGTATCATTCTCGTTGCATTTATAGTAACATTCTGAAGTAAAATATCGTGTTGTTACTGTAGCTGGAATATGAAAGACGTTCGGGAAATCTCTCACTGCCAGAAATAATGTTACACAGTAAAAAGCTGGAGTTTAAACTCTATACAGATACCAATAAGTTGCTCTAGCTAAACTTAATATTGCCAACAAGCGCCTCACTCATACTAGCTAGTTCTTTTATACATTCTTGACGCTAACATTGATTTATTATCCCAGACAATACTGTTATTTAATAATAATTGCGATTTTTTTACATATCAACTAA